CTCTCAGAAGTACTCCAGCCATGTTGTATTTCCAGTAAAACAAAAAAATGGTCTAACTAGGAATGTCAATTTCTCTGTGCATCTGCTAAATTTCAAAATTTTATTTCAAGAAAATGCCATCTGAAAATCATGTGACTTAGTTAACAAGTAATTTAAAATCATTGTTATCCTTTGCTAAAGGATTTTTAAAAATTGTTTTTTTTACTTACTGTGCAATTGCACTATTTAATAACAACCACTTGTAAATTATTTTGCAGTTGATATGGAAATACACTGTCAAAAACTATTTACTAACAAATATTTGTTAAGTATATTTTTAAATAATTTTTTTTCTTTGGCTAGGGTGGGGTTAAGTAACTTGCCCTGGGTCACACAGCTAGTAAGTGTCAAGTATCTGAGGCCGCATTTGAACTCAGGTCCTACTGACTCCAAGGCCAGTGCTCTATCCACTGTGCCACCTAGCTGTCCCTAAAATAATTTTTTATCATCCAGAATAAACTAAGTAAAATATGCAAAATGGTAGGAGATGAAAGAGCAGAGGTCAATTAAATCTCCAGTGAAACCCTCCAACTTGTACAAGCACAACAAATCACAGCATTAGAATTGTGAGGGCCACTAGTTCAAATTCCTAGTTTTGTAAATGATGAAACTGAAACCCAGAGAAGAAAAGCCACTTCTTCAAAGTCCCAGAGCAAATTTATAGCAGTCGGGATCAGAATTCAGGTTTGATGACTCACAGTACTAGCATTCTTTCCACTATACCAAGATGCCTCTAAATGCTGCTGAAATAGTATTCATTTCTTTGGTGAATGCAACAATAAAGAATAAATAGAGCCAGAAGGCAGTACTAAAATCACTGTCTAGGCAGTAGTTCTTGCCCCTGTGCATCCACAACTTATAGTTATCATACTTGGCTCTTGAGTAGACAATCTTCTCTACTTTGAGTATCTACACTGCACTCCTGGTATCTTGCCAGCAACTTCACATTCCACTCTGAATACCTCCTGCCTCTCCCCTCCAACTCAGAAAGCAACGTAACACTTCTCCAAGCCTCCATCCTGTAAGATTTCCCTTTGAGGAAGCCTGGTTTCAAACACAGGAGTACTTAATTGGACTCCTTTATCATAAACAGTTACCATTTGCCTTCTCATCTTCTAAAAACCAACAAGGTTAGTGGATAAAAATTCCATTTCAGAGTGGATCTATGTGTGAAGCTGAAGAAACATTAATTCAACCTGACCACATCTCTAGAGCAACAAGAGAAAGTCCTGGGAAGAAGAGGCAGGACATGAGGATCAAGGAGCTGGCTGGTTTCTCCTGCCTCCAAATCCAGCGCTCTTCTCATTGTGCTGTGCTCGTAGCCTTCCTCCTCAAAGTCCCTGATCTATTAACAACACACAAATAGAAAGGTATTTAAGGCCCAAAAGAAGGTGCATAACACTTCAAGAAACAATAAAACATCTCTTATCAGGAATGACAATATCTGGCTTGAAGTCCAACATACAAAAATACCTGTACAAATATCCCCGGAGAGATACTGACAATTTGGCAGAAGGCAAGAAGGTTACAGAAAGATACACAAGTAAAGGGAAACAGGAATACTTGGTTTGAACGCACAACAGAAAATTCTAGCTGTGCGTGGTGGGTCAAGGAGGGCACAGCAAGCTTCTGAGGAGAGAACTAAAGACTATCAAACTGCAAATATACCAAGCAGCCAACATTCATTGATCACCTCCTATAAAAGATCACAGGATTTAAACTGAAAGGGACCTGTAAATACGAGGCTCATTTTCTACTTCTTATTGCCTTCTTTTCCCTACTAGGCCGTAATATTTCTGACATTCCCTTTCATGCCTCACTGCTTATGTGTAAACCCTGAGGGGCAGGGGCCATGTATGCCATAACTTCATTTTTATATTCTCTGAGATGTCAAACATTTATGAATTTATGAAATCTATTGAACTAAAAATGCCTCACCTCTAAAAAGTCTTCCCTATCCATCCCAGGCTTAGCCAATAAAAGATGTTTGTTTAACTGCATCACCTTCTCCTCCTCATTTCAGTAATTAAATGATTTGCCCAAAGTCACACAGCTATTAAGTACCAAGAACCAATTCAAACTTGAGTCTCCTGACTCCAAATTCAGATCAAATGAGATATTATCTGTAAAGTCCTTAGTATGGTGCCTGGAACATAGCAGGTAATTTTAAAATGCCTGTTTCAGAGCAGCTAGGTGACGCAGTGGATAAAGCACTGGCCCTGGATTCAGGAAGACCCGAATTCAAATCCGGCCTCAGACACATAACACTTACTAGCTGTGTGACACTGGGCAACTCACTTAACCCCACTGCCTGGCCCAAAATAAATAAATAAATAAAAGTAATAATAAAATGCCTGTTTCCTTCCTCCCCTAATCCAAGTTACTATATAAGAGACTGTGCTAGTTGCCATTTTCATGGGTCACTGACCTTATGCAATCTGCCTGGGGAAAGAGACTGTCTTATATTAAAATAATTATACAAGGAATAAGTGCTAAGTCTCAAATGAATAGCATAAATCCTAACTGCTGCATTTCAGAGGGGGGAACCATTGCTATGGGGTAGGATGGTCAAAAAAGGCCTTCCAGAGAAGTTAAAGCATTTGCAGTTCAACTAAGTATTCATTTCATGCCTACCATATGCTTGACACCATGGAGAATACAAAAGGAGTACGGCCATGGTCTCTGACTTCAAAAAGTGTAAATGCAGGTATATACAGTAAGGACTGTAATACAAGAAGGTAGGAATGAAAGGGAAGCTATCTCAAGTATCTACTGTCCTATTCAATAACCAAGTGACCAAGATATATTTAGTACCTAACTACCTACCCACCTAAAGGACAGGAGATGTGGTTGGAAAAGGAAGACAAACGATTTTAAAATACCAGTGGGTTAGGGAAGAGAGGGGAGTTAAAGGAGAGGAGCTAGAATTTACTCACTGCTTCCTTTGTTCTTTTTGAGAGACTGTTTAAGAATTAAAGGTTCAAGGTGACAACAAATCACAGGGCCCTTAGAGAGCATTTGGTTCAACTCAATCAGTTTACAAACAGAGAAACTGAGGTCCAGGGAGGGAAAGTAACTGGGGAGGGGAAGGGTGTGAAGGAGAGAAGGGAGACCAGGACTCATAGAAAGAATCCCAATTCTAAAAGGGGACAGTGAGCAAAGAGAAGGTATGAACCCTGTGGGTGAACTAGGAGCCTTGGAGACACAAAGGCAACTCTCCCACTATGAGGGCATGGGAGACCTCGTCTTAAGTCAATGGTGGCAAGGGGGCCCACACCTGAAGAACTGGGCTAGGAAGAACAATGTGAAGGATTTAGGAGCTGACACCCTTAAAGTAGAAAGGTATATTCTAAGAAGGGGTTGGGTTTTGGATTTGGGGGGTTTGGGGGTTTGTTTGGTCGTTTTGTTTTGTTTTTGTTTTTTTTTTGAGAAATAAGGGGAAAGGTTTCAGAGGAAGGAGGTTCAGGAACAACAGACTCCGTAAAAGAGGACAGGGTACCTGGGTAGGGGGGAGTAGTAGAGTGTTTGATCTAAAGGGAAGAGTAGAGGTCAAGGACCATAGAGAGGTTTATCTGCACAAAGTGGCAAAAGGCAATCAGTGGGGAGGGACCTGGTTTGGGGAGCCTGAAGAGAGGGAAGGGCAACAGGAAGTCTGGAAGTGGTGCCAAGGAGGGGGCCATTATTATCCCGATAACTGGAGGCTCCCTCTGTGGCCTGTGCTAGCACTGCCCCTCTTTTTATCTGCAGGGCTGTGGTGAGGGGGTACCACAGTGGGGGAGTTCCAGAGGAGGGGCTATTATCATCATGCTCATCACTTAAGACTCCCTCTTTGGCTCTCCCAGGATACTGCCCGGCCCAGCTTTTTCCCTGCAGGGGGAAATGGGGGGAGGGGGAAGGAGAATACTTAGACCTCATCATTACCATCTTAACTGCAAGCTCCCTTGTTGGCTCTTTGCCTGGCTTTTTCCCTGCAGGGTGGCTAGGGTGGGGTACCACTGGGGGTGGGGTGGGGGAGTGTTCAGATAAGGGGACATCTTCATTATCCTCCTAACTGGACACTCCCTCTGTGGCTCTGGGAGGACCCTTGGCTCCCTCCTTTCAAAGGAGCTGGAGTACAATAGTGGGGGGTTTCCGATGAGTGGCCATCACCATCCTCGTCCTATCTTAGTGCGGTGCTCTCTGAGGGGCTGCCTAGCTTTTTTTTTTTCAGGGGTGCTGGGATTGAAGTGGAAGGATAGAAGAGAGGGAGGGGTTTCAGTTGGGGACCATCCCAATCCACCCCTTGTCTAAGGGAGCCCTCCCTGGCTCTCCAGGGCTGCCCAGCTCTTTCTTTTCAAAAGGGTCGGAGATATAATGGAGGAGGAGTGTTGGATGGGAGCCATCCCCACCCTCCCCCTGTCTAGGGGAGCCCTCCTTGACTCTCCAGGGAGGCTCGGCTCTTTCTTTTCAGAGGCGCTGGGGGAACAATGGGGGCGAAGCGGTTGGATTCCCCATCTTCCCCCAGTCTGGGGGCACCCTCCTTGGTTCTTGGTGGGCTGCCCGGTTCTCTCCTTTCGTGGGTTTTCAGATGGTGGCCATGCCCATCCTCCCCCGATCTGGAGGCGCCCTCCCTGGCTCTCCAGGGGCTACCCAGCTCTTTCTTTTCACAAGGGTTGGGGGTACAATGGGAAAGAGGGTTGGGATGGGGCCATCCTCATCCTCCGGGGCGGGGAAGAGGATCGGATGCGGGCCATGCCCATCCTCCCTTGGGGGGTTGAAATCGGGTGCGGACCATGCCCATCCTCCCCGCGGGGGGGGGGATCGGTTGCGGGCCATGGCCATCCTCCCCGGGGGGGGGGGGGGGGGGGGGTGGCGGGCCATGCCCATCCCCCCCCCGGGCGTGGGTGTGGAGATTCGGACGCGGCCCTTGCTCACGCTCCCCGAGTCTGGGGCGCCCTCCCGCCGGGGGTCGCGGGGCTCACCTGTGCGCGGGGATGCGCTGCGAGCTCATGCCTTTGCCCACCAGGAAGTGCACGTCGCTGAGCACCTCGTTGTTGAAGAGGAAGGCGAAGCGCTCCTTCACCGTGGGCTTCGTCGCCTGCCAGTTGTAGACGGGCTCGCGGTGCAGCACCAGTCCCGCCGCCGCCGCCGCCCCCACGGCCCCGGGCGGGGCCGGAGCGGGGACCGGGCCCGGGGCCGCCGCCGCCACGGCCGAGCCTGCCCCGCCGCCGCCGCTCCCCGCGGCCTGGGCGGAGGCGGCCCCAGGCCCGGCGGAGGCGGAGGAGGCCGCGGAGGCCGCGGAGGCGGAGGAAGCGGAAGCGGCCGCCGAGTTACCGGGGGCCGAGGCCGCGGCCGCCGCCACGGCACAGTTATTGTAGCTCAGGCCCGTCCCGGGCCCGCCGCCGCCGCTGCCGTTGCTGTTGCTGCAGCCGTTCCCTACCCCTGGCGGGCAGGACGACAGGCCGCCGCCGCTCCCACCGGCCGCCATCTTGGTTGGAAGCTGCTGCGGCAACGGCAGAGACAGCGGGCGGGCGGCGGCGGCGACGACGGCGGCGGCAGCAGCGGAGGCGGCGGCGGTCGGAGTGTTTACAAATAGAGCCGGGCAGCAGCGGCGCATGGGAGCGCGGGGCGCGCGCGCCCTCGGCCGAGGGGGGGGCTGCGGGGGGAGGGAGTGCGGGGCGCGCGCCCTCCGCGGGAGGGGGACAAGGGCGCGCGCGGCCGAGAGGGGAGGGTGCGCGCGGCCAACGCGGGGGGGGAGGGCAAGGGCGCGCGCGGCCGAGGTGGGGGCGGGGCGCCCGACGGCAACCCTTGAGGGGGAGGAGGGGGAGGGACCTGGGCGTGAGGCCGGGTGGGGGTGGGGAGAGCGACTGAGGGGGCGCTCAGGGCACGGGGCGGGAGACTCGTGTACACTGAGGGGGCGAGGTGGCCGGAGGGGCGGGGCCCCTTGTGGGACCGTTAGGTGAGGAGGCTGGGCGACCCCAGGGAAGCGGCAGTTCCCACCCAGTCCCCGGGCCGGGTTGGTGAAACCGGAGCCTTTCTTAGACTACGAGTGAGGCCCGGAACAATTCTCTTCTTCATCACCCCGTGCCTCAGTTTCCCTATCCATACAAAGTATAGGATTTGGACTAGAAGCCAATTTCCAAGGTTCCATCGACTCTTTTCTAAACCCTACAAACATATTTCAGTCACATTTACCTCAAGTCGATAGCAACAAAAATTTTTTTGAAGAGATTTTTTTTTAGTCCAGACCTATGATCACAGGCAATCACAAGGGGAAAAAAAATGTAAAGACATTTTGAGGCAGGTTGGATTCATTCTGAGGGATTTACAGAAAGAGATGAAAAGAGATGAAAGAGATGGAGGCGAATTACTCAGAAGTAAATGGGGGTGGGGAATTGCTTTACCAGGCATATTTGTTAAAAGATTATGTTTTTCTTTTATAGTGATGGAGGTGGGAGGGAGAGAAAATAAATTTAAATTGAGTTAATAAAAAAAAATGGAGAAAAGTTGGGGATTCTTATTGATGGTGTATGCACCCTGTACAACATCTCAACAAAGCTCTTTCATTTATGTGAATTCACTTGGATCTTTAAATAAACAGGTTTTTTTTTAATTACAAAGTTATTGTTACAGAGGAGCATGATGTGAATTCACTTGGATCTTTAAAATAAAGTGTGTTGGTTTTAGGGAAGGCAGCTCAGACAACAAAAGCTGTTGATCCCAAAGTCTGCCTAGCCTAGCCCAACCTGAACCTGTATAGGAATTTCTTCCACATCTGTAGATCAAGAAATAAGCACTATTCAAGGACCTGCTATGTGCCAAACATTATGCTAAGCTCTGGAGATACCCATAAATGCAAAAGACAATACCTGCCCTCAAGGAGCTAGCATTCTAATCGGAAGAGACCACATGCAAAGAACTGCATCCTAAAGAGAAAGCTTCATGTTTGAGCTCGGTCTTAACCAGGGATTGATTCCACGAAGGGAAGGGAGGGAGAGCATGCTGATCACAGGAGAGACATCAAGGCAAAGTCACAGAGATGGGAGCGGAAAGTTGGTGGGGAATGGGACTTCTTTTTCTTGCTGTGCAGGTTAGACTTCCACGTCTAGCTATGCCCTTTTCCTGCCTAATCTCTAGCCTTTGGAGGGAAGAGGAGGAGTGAAGCAGTGGGTCTCAGCTGACCAGCTGATCATGTACCTCCCATCTCATTCTGCACTTGACTCCAATCTCCAGCCTCCTTTGGGAAGAGGAGTGGCACCTTCCACTCAGTCATGAACATTCTTACGCCTGGTCATACCCTTCACATCCCAGTGATTCTAAATCCCTGCAGTTCATCATCCAAACCCTATTTCCTCCGACCCACCCCAATTCTTCATTCCCATCCCCTTCAACCCTCCTACCTCAGAGTTTTAACCAAGTGCCACCCAGCTCTTCCACGGTGCCCTCTGGAATGCCTGTTCTGTAGACAAACAGACTTCCTTTGGGCTTAAATCTTTTCCTCTCCCACTCCTTCCATGTACCAAAGTTTACTGAAATCTGGCTTCCCTCAGATGACACAGACTCCATGACTACTCTCTCTAATTCTGGCTGCACCTTCATTCTCCTCAACTCACTGGTTGAGGCAGAGGAGTTGGAATACTCCTTGCTCCCCATTGCCACTCACCCTATCTCCATCACTCAGTAACCACTCTTCTTTGAGATTTAATATGTTCATCTCTACCATTCAATCAAAGTCTTGTTGTCTGCAGACCGCCAGGTCATTTCCCTTCTAACTGAGAAAGTAGAAGGGAAGGATTGGTTGTATGAATGGAATTAAGGGAATCGATTGTCAATGTTCTATGGGAAGAGAAAGGAATAAATATTTATTAAACATCTACTGTGTCAGGCACTATGCTAAATTCAAAACTGACCTCAGACACTTACTAGCTGGGTGACCCTGGACGGATCACTCAGTAGGTCTGCCTCAGTTTTGAGCTCAGATCCAGCATTCTATCCACTGTGCTACCTCTATGTAGAGAGGTAGAGCTGCTTCTATAGAGATCAAAGGACAAGACTGGGCAATTGCCTGTATATGCAGAATGGGTGAAAGTGAGGACTTGAAGGAGGTTTTGAGTCTGAGTGACTCAGCGGGTAGTAGTGCCCTGAATCGTCGGGGAGTTTAGAAAGGGGTAGAGTATAGTGGGAAAGACGGGTTCTGTTTTGGATAGACTTGAGTTGGAGATGCCTGGAGGCCTTGTTGGAAATGTCTCATAGGCAGCTGGGGACTCAGGACTGCAACTCAGGAAAGGGAAAGGGTCTGGATTTCTGGATCTGGGAATCCTCAGTGCAGAAATGAGCATTAAACCCAAACCAGTTGGTAAGATCACTGAGGGAGAGAGTGTAGAGAGAGCAGGGCCTGTGATGGGACCTGGATGATGCAGACTGTGAGGAACTGAATTCAGCCTTTGCCTGAAAGCTGCCCATTGTGAGGAGACTCCCACCTTCTGAGACAGCCTATTCCACTTCTGTGTACCTCCAACAGGGAGCTCGCCCCACCATACCTAAATGTACTACTTTGCCACTCCTTCCCATAGACTCTAGTTCTGTCTTTTGAGGTCAGAACTTCCTTCTTCCGTACCAGATTCTTTCCAAACCCTTGAAGATAACTATCATGCTCCACATAAGTCTTCTCTCCTCTAGGCTAAGCATCTTCAATGCCTTCAACAAATGTTGAAATGCCTACTTTGTGCAAGATGCTGTGCCAAAATGAGGAGGAATGAGGGGTCACTAAAACCCTTTCAGCTCTGGAACTTTGCTCAGGGAGAGGAGAGGAGAGCAAAAGATAAAGTTGGAGGGGTAGAATTCGAGACTCTGGAATATATTGAATCTAGTAAGTCTGTGGCCGTACAGCTTTGCTCACAGAACCCTTAGCCAGAAGTGCCTTTATATAACACAAGGACAGACTTCTTCAGTAATATTCACAGAGGAGAAAACTGAGGCTCAGAGAGTGAGATTGACTTGCCCAAGGTCATAGAGCAAGTCAATGGCAGAGCCAAGACTAGAACTTATGTCCCTTTACTCCCAGGTCTGGAGTTCTTTCCATCACACTAAGCTCAGTCTCCTCACTCTCAAGTTGTCTCCCACAGGGCAGAGGGATGTTTCAGGAGCTAAGTGCTGAAGAAAAAATACTAGTACTGAACTATGCATTTTAGGCAATTTAAAATTATTCTAAATCTAAGCTATTTCTAGCTCAGGAAAGAAGCATCCAAATTAGCAGTCTCCTCATGCCCTTGACCTCTCCATACCCCTAGATAATTCGAGGTAACTTTTGCAGAACTCTTTAACAAGGAAAATATAATAATATGTTAAAATGCAGTTTGAAGTTGACATTCCAGAACAACAGTCACTACTCCATTACTTCTTTGACCACTATCCTCAAGTGTTCTGAAGAAATCAAAGGGGCCTTCTCTTGTTGATGAATATTTTAATCAAGAAGAGAGAACTGCCCTTAGGTGGGCCATAATACAATCACTTCAGGAGATGGGGGAGGCAAAGATCTTAAGGAGATCTTAAGTTTCATTTTCCACTCAATCAATTTCCTTAAGATTTGTGGCTTTTTGACAAAATCCAACACCCATTTCTATTAAAAATTATTGAAATCCAAAACCCATTTCTATTTCAAAAAAGAAAGCATAGGGATAAGTGGACCTTTCCTTAATAGAGTAAATAGTATCTATTTAAATCCAAGAATAAACATCATATGTAATACAGAGTAGTTAGAAGCCTTTCCAGTAAGATCAGAGTTAAAGCAAAGATGCCCATTATCACTGCTACTATTTAACATAGTGTTAGAAAAGCTAACTATAGCAATAAAACAAGAAAAATTAAAGGAATAAACATAGGCGAAGAGGAAACAAAGTAATTGCTATAGATTACATTATTTATTTGAAATAAATGACATGACTCAGCTCTACTATTACTAAGTCTACTCAGCTTAGTACTCAGCTCTATTAAGTCAAAGAGCTCAAAGAAAGAAAAAAAGGACATATGCATAAAAACAATTATAGCAGCTCTTTTCATAAAAAAAAAAAATCCAAACTGGAAACTAAAGGGGTATCCTTCTACTGGGGAATGGCTAAACAAATGATGGCACATGTAATGGAATATTATCGTACCACAAGAAATGACAAAAACAGACAGTTACAGAGGAAACTGGGAAGACCTATGAACCAATGCAGAGTGAAATGAGCAGAACTAGAACAATTTATATAATGACATTATAGAGAAAAAGAACTTTGAAAAATGTTAGAACTCTGATGAGAGTAATGATAAACTATGAGTCCAGAAGACTGAAGACTTTTTGTCTCAGAGAGGTGATGAATTTAAGATGCAGAAAGAGACATACATTTTGGCACATGGCCCTTTGGGGAATTTGTTTCGCTGAACTAAACGTGTATGATGAAGGTTTTATTTGGGGAGAGGTTGTTGTCCAATAGTGGGAGGAATGGGGAGACCCA